CTTAAGGGGGATTATGCTGAGCTAACATTTAAATATCAGGTCCTCATGCATATGAATTTTGGTTTTACAAATGTTTTATGAATCTATTACCTGTGAGTTTATCAACATGAGTATTTTTTAAGTTAGTCTTGCTGCAGCAGCAAAAAAATCAATGTCCTAAATTTTCCAAGAGGGAACTATCTTTGTTCAGGGTAACTTCACCATGATACAAATTTAACTTCAGGTTCAATCTGGGCAGTGAGCCTTTCTCTTTGACAGCTATTGCATACACATATATGTACACACATAAGAGCCATTTATGTATAAATTAGAATATAACACTAATATTTAATTAATTATAACAAAAGGTTTTTGCATCTTCAAACACAGGAATCAAAGTATTTGTTGCTTTTCAGCCTAAAACAATCCCACATATCTTTTGCACAGTCAGCCTGTTTAACGAATCACATCTTAAATGCCATTCTTCAATTACCTTTGGATATATCAAATCTGATGAAAATGCAAAACCTGAAAATATACCAAAATACATCACTGCTTTAATGACTAGTCAGCATCTTTGGAAGGTACATATCTATACATCTCAGGGCTTTAAAGATACAGCAAAGAAATCTTTGTGTGATTACAGCTTAACTGAGGGAGCATGAGACCATGAGACAATGTCAGAGACTGGAGGAAGACAATCTGACAGAAGAGACACATGGTGCTAACTCTGTGCTGTGGTGAGTTCACTCAAGGTCCCAGAACTTGTTTTAATATGGGAACACAGTTCAACTTACTTTAATGGTGACTTTCACTGACATCATGACAAGGTGAGTACATTCTTTTGTCCAGCTGTTCACAGTGAGTCCTCCAAGTTGCAACACAGCTTGATTTAGAGCAGTTTTCCCAGACACATCTAAACAAGAAGAACAGGCAACCAAAGGCTCATACTCTACCCTGTGAATGACAATAAAGTTACGTTATCACAGTTACAAAGACTTTACAACTTTACAATACTTTACAACTTTAAGCTTACAACATATTATTCGTTTAATTTTGACACATTATAAATTTGTAACTTAGGAAATTCTTACCTCCTAAATCTTGTGTTCCCAAAGAAGAAAAAGACATGGCCAACATCAACATTACATTTTAACTTATGAAGCATCAAACAAACGAGGCTCCTATCACAACTCACAGGGACTAACACAAACTTTTACTCACCTGTCACCCCCCCACCTGTGATCCACAAAATATACCAACAACACAGAGTTCACTACTGTGCTAAATGGGAAGTCAATTATACTGTCACCTTATAATCCTTATCTTTGCTTTAAAATTCAATTGTTGTGAAATAAAATTGTCCACTTTAATCTAATTTAAAAAGTGTGGGGCCAGTGCCATTGGTTTGGTACACTAAGCTTCCACCAGGATTCTATATGGGCAACAGTTCATACCCCAGCTTCCCAAATGTGGATCCAGCTCCCTGCTTGTGGCCTGAGAAGGCAGTCAAGGACAGCCCAAAGTTGTGGGACTCCTCAGCTATGTGGGAGACTCAGAAGAGGCTCCTGGTTCCTGGCTTCAGATTGGCCCACCTCTGGCTGTTGTGGCAACTTGGGAGTGAAGGCAGGATCTCCTAGTCTCTCCTTCTCTCTGTTCATCTGCCTTTCATGTAAAAGTAAATCTTTAACAACAAAAATTAAATAAACAAATCCATACCTGAATTTACTTTCAAACACTCCAAAGGTGACTCTATCCCCTGTCTTCAAAGTTTGGGGAAGGTGATTTTGCATTTTTGCCTCATTAACAAAGGTACCATATTTAGAATTATCTTTGATTGTCAATACAGGGATTTCATCAGTTTGACTCTGAAAATTAGAGAAGTAATTACAAGTCTTTTACAGCTCAAGCACATACAATCCAGGGGGAAATGATTCACAGGAGACATTTGATAACTTTTGAAAAGGGTAAAATAATAAACAGCTGCATATCCTGCCACCACAGGGAATGACAGCTACTGTTCTGGCTGCCTTCAAAGGACTAATTAGCAATTAACATAAATATCTCCCTTTAAGAAAATCTCTGAATTTCAGAATTATAACTCTTGGAATACACATTTTTCTTTATTTCTGTAAATCAGTTGGGACTTTCCCAACCCTTCCATTTCACACACTTGAGAATTTTATGATTGGCAGCAGTTTGCTTCACGCATAACATGACAGCTTCAGTCCTACGTTTTCGTTTTGTTTTGTTTACATTATCAAAAGCACATGGTAAACACTGGGCGAATGAAAACAAGGCATAAAGCCTAGAGGTTCTGACTTTTGGTAATAATTTTATTTTTTCTATTGCAACTTCTATAATAATGCTTTTCTACAACACAAATAGACACAAAACCTAAATGCCAGTAAACTAATCCATCACTTGTGCATTTGTCACATTTGTTCAAACTAACTGCTTACTTTCACTTTCTTGTTCCTACCACGATGATTTTGAACGTATTTATTCATATATTTTTATCACTCTCATCACCCGTGGTTCTGGTGAAAGCTAACAAATACCTTCCAAGCCATTCAAAAGAGCTGTGGATCAGAAGCAACAGTTGTCTTCCCCGGGAAAACCGTCATTCCCACTGCGGAGCCTCCCTTTACACACCCAGACTTTGTGTCCATCAGTCACATACTCTCTTTAAGAGCGAGCATCATGAATGTATCACAGCTAAGCCCAATAACTCTCACCACGGAACAGTCAATGTTGTTAAGTAAACAAATACAAATACAACCTACTTTCTCCAAGTTTCTAAGTCACTGAAACAAAAGCATAAAATGCTCAAACAGCTCTCTCTCTCTGTCACATCAAGGCAATATACTGTGATTTCAACTCTCACTGCAAGCTAGCAAAATACAATCAGGAACATACCAAGTTGGTCACAGCAAAATTAGCGGTTAACACTGCATGATTTCGACTGATTGACTGATCATCTTCAATTAGAATAGCACAGTTTTTCCTTCCAACGATGTACTCAGTGCCAGTCAAAAGTCTGTATGGTTCTAAGAGGAATAAAATCATGAGACACAAACACACATACATAAATGTGTACATTATATAGGATAAAATTCATGATGTGTCACGAAAACACTTTGCTATTTCAATGTTCATCAGTTTTACATAAATTAAACTCCCATTTTCTATTAAACCCTTATTGAGGAATATCAAAAGATCACCTACATTAATGCAAGGGCATACCATTTCTCTCAAGGAATAACAACAGTGAAAGGAATTAACTTTCCCAAAGTATACATTTACTGAAATCCCAAGTAAAGTCCCAATATGAACTTGACTGGAGCTTCCATCCATTAGTTCACTCCCCAAATGGCCACAACAACGGAGCTGTGCCGATCTGAGACCAGGAGACAGGAGCTTCTTCCCGTTCTCTCATATTGAGTGCAGGGTCCCAAGGCTTTGGGTCATCCTGGACTGCTTTCCCAGGCCACAAGCAGGGAGCTGGATGGGCAGTGGAGCAGCTGGGATAAGGACCAGTGCCCATATGGGATGCCAGTGCTAACAGTAGAGGATTAGCCAGTTGAGCCATCACACCAGCCCCTATTCTTTGTTTGTAAATTTTTACCTTACTTATTTGGGGGACAGGGATACGTGTTCTGACTCACTGCCCAAATATCCAGGGTATCTGAGCCCTGGACTCAAGCTAGGTCTGCCCACAGGTGGCAGTAACTCAACTCTGAGCTGTGGCCAAGGGTGCACTTTAGCCAACAGCTGGAGACAGGCTGAACAGGACTCCCAGGCTAGCCCTGCTACACAGTGCCAAATGTCTGCACTGAGCAGTGCTATCCCGTAACAGATGGCTAAGTCTCAGCCTGTCACCTACTCAGACCAGGTCCTGCAGGGCAAATGCCTTCTCACTGCACACTCAGACCAGGCCAACAGTGAGCTGCAACTAACCAATCCCGCTGTTTCTGGAAGTCACCTCCTACCGTCTGCTGGACTGTTGGGTACTGCTCTCTCAGCCTCCACTGGCTCGGGCCACACCTTGATTCATGAAGCCTTTCCTCAGGTATGCTGTGCCAAACTCAATTTGTCTCAGGTCTGTCTTCTTTCCACACATCCACAGGAACTCTGAGAGCCACAAGACAAACTGAAATCTCTATGGTCTGGCCTTGCACTGGTGCAAGTTCATAGGGATGCCTATGTTGGTGTTTACAAAAGTCCTTCAGAGGCCAGATCATATTAATTCTCAGTTTGCATGCTGGCATTGCATGTGGGCACTGGTTCAACCCCAAGCTGCTCCACTTCCCATCCAGCTCCCTGCTTCTGGCTGGGAAAGCAGTGGAGCATGCCCAAGTCCTGCACCCCTATATACACATGGGAGACAAGACGAAGCTTCTGGCTCCCAGCTTTGCACTGGTCCAGCTCTGGCCATGGAGGCCATCCCGAGAATGGAAGACTTCTCTGTCTTTCCTGCTCTCATTCAAGTGAAATAAAGAAATCACCTTCTTTTTTTTTTTTTCTTTAAACCTCTTTACATAGCCAGTCAACACTGCATCTCGGGAGACCCTTTTTTTCCCAATCACAACGTGAACACCCTGAGCACACAGGTAATCATGGCTTTACTGGCTTACCCTTTCTTTTATCAGCCAATAAGGACCACAAACACCAGGCAGGCAACTAGCAACTTCCACTAGGGAAGTGCAGACACACAGGAAAGGGGCGGGGTGAAGTGGCCTGGCTTTTGCTGCAGCTCCCCTGGGACACCAGCATCCCAGGTTTGTGCAGGGGGTCCAGCCCAGCACCGCCAAGGCGCACTCTGACAGACAGCAACTGAGGCCCTTGCATCCCGGGGTTCCTGGCTTGGGCCTGACCAGCCCTAGTGTTGGACACATCTAGGGCAGTGAACTCGGAGATGCAAGATTCTGGTCTCTCTTTCAAAAAGAAAAAGTCTGGGCTGTCCCCTCTTGCTGACAGCACGGAAACGCGTCTGAAACAACAGAAAGCATCTCCGTGCACCTGTTTCTCCTCAGCCACCTCAGCCAGGGCTCAGCGAAGGGCCAGCCGCCCCACCGCCCATGCCCACTGCACAGCGCCGGGGTCCCACGGCCACTGCACAGCGCGGGACAGGGCCGGGCGTCCACCCGCCCAACCCCGGGGCCGAGGACAGCCGGCCTTCCCCGCCACGGCGCAGCCGGGACCACCACGCGCGTGCCAGACCCCCGGTTTCCTTCCCGTTCCGCCGTGCCCCGGAAGGTAAGGGGACCCGACCGGAAGCGACCCTCCCCGACTTCCTTCCCCGCGTTGGCGCTCCTCCGAACCCGGGCCCTCTGTCCCTCTCTGTCCTTACCTCGGGCTGGGCCCGCGGCCGGGAGGAGCTTCCACATGGGCCCTGCTGCCGGCCGACGCGACCGGCGCCAGCCCGCCTGCCAGCCGCCCGAGCTGCGGGGCGAGCGCTCCCGGGCCGCGCGAGCCTCTGTGCTGCCGGCGGGATGCAGCGGGCGTGCGGCCAGGGCGCGGGGCCGCCACCTGCTGGGGAGCCAGGAACAGCGCTGTCTACAAGTTCACCAGGTACTTGTTGGCAAGAATTGCAGAGTCCCCTAAGAAAAAGCTCTGAGAAAAACTTTGCAGTGTTATTTGCTATACGTTTAATAAAATTAATGCAAAATCAATCAAGGAGAAAAGATGTGTTTTAGCCAAGTATTTTGGAGACCATTGGAATGTGATTCTAGTTGACTGCTGTCCAGTTTTGGTTTATGTCAACTCTTAAGAGTTAAGTCCAGCATGAAATTGTCTCCTACTAGACAAAATAATTGTGGTAAATAACTGACAAATTTGAAAAAAGGAAAAGAAACTGGATGCCTATGTTGTCGTAGTGCCACTTTGGTAGAGTCTAACTTCCGTGGGTTGCCTGGCAGAAGCCTGTTCAGAAGGCATTTTTTGGTATTGCCTTTTGTGCATTTTATTATGAAAATGCTGCAGTCATATTTAGTGAAAAAAGATCTGAATTATTGCTTATAATAGAAATAAAAGCAAGCATTGGTTGCTTAAACTGGTTTCTCATGTCCAACCAGAAAAAGAGAACTTTAGTGAAGGTAAGATAAGTAAATGCACACACATACACCATATATACTTTTTTGAGGGGGAGGGGTAGCTAAAAGGAAATCAATTGTATGTAATACTTTAATAAATTCCTAAAATATTTGACAACTGACATTTTCATTTTGGAAATTCAACTAAATCTAAAAGCATTGTAAAGTTACTATGGTTAAAAAACTAATAAGAAATTTGAATGATCTCCCTTTTTTTTTTATAACGTGTAGAGCTGCTATTTTACTACTTGGGGAATGGGAAGTGAAAATTGGACCCTGGAGGGTTTCTACACGCTTTCATCACTTCTCTTTTAGAGAATATTAAAGCATCCAGTGTTAACTGGAGTAAAACAATTACTAAGTACCATCAGCAAGGAAAGTCTTGAGTTTGTTAGCATTGTGACCTCCTGGAAGGAGAGATGTTGAGGGTGTTGAGAACAGTGCTTTTCCATGTGTCTGGTCTCTGATCCAAGTTATACGCACAAACAGAAGCTATGAGCTTTCAGGGCACACACTGCTTTAAATGTATAATGCAACTTGCTGCCAGAACCAGATGTGTTGAAGAAAGAAAACAAAACCACCTCCTTTCTATAGCCATTAAAGTCAAGTTTACTGTTCTGTTTTAACAAATTTGTATTTTATTTTGCATAGCCGCACATCTGCTTATTTTAAAAAAATACTTACCCTTTGGTAGTAATGGTTCAGTACAAGTGAGTATTACAGCTTAATGTCTCTGTGTTCTAATTCTAAGTGTTCTTTTATTCCAGGTCTTATAGAGCAGATAAGACATCTGTAAGGTCATTTTTCGAAATATATTGTAAGATAATAAAAAAGGTAACATAATTAAAAAGAAAAAAAAGAATTGCAGAGAGAGCAGGAGAGACAGACAAATGTTTCAGCTGCCCTGTGGTTCCCGAATGGCTCAAAGATCAGGGCTGGACCAGGCCCAAGTCAGGAACTTCATCAGGGTCTGCCTTGAGGGTGGTAGGGGCCCAAGCACTGGGGCCATCTTCCAGCTGCTTTGGAAAGATTTTTTTTGTTGTTTAGATTCGTCTCACCTGAGGACGTTTTCATTGCTGCATTAAGATACTCCATGCATTTGGATTTCCTTAGTTGCAATGATTCATTTGTGTGGATCCCTAAGGAGAGTGTTAGCAGTGAGGATGATGGTTTCATCCCAAAGTAACTCCTTGAGATTTTCTTTTTCAAATTCAAGTCAACTTATCCTAAATTCTCCGTTGCATATTATGCCCTTATCTAATCATACATGAAGTATGGGTAGTCTGCCACTATGTCAACTTTTTCCTGCTTCAAGTATCGTCATCTAACTGCAAGTCTCATCTTTTCTTCAAGCCAGACCACCTCCGACTGCTTGAGAACACACGTGTGATGGTGCAATTTCTGCTTTTCTGAAAGAACTCGGAGGAGACCTGATAGAGGAGCTTGGGGAACATCTCTGTCAGAACACAGTCCCTGCAGGTAAGCACAAGAACCAGGGTAGGGAGCAGCCCAGCCCAGGCCCGATTACAGTACCCACCAGCATACCTGTGGCTCAGATATGGGGGCAGGCCAGGCTGCACCCGTTCTTGGCAGCCACTGGCAGAGCTGAGAACCAGGACAGGGTGCAGGACAGGCCTAGTCGGGCTGTAACAGCAGCCAGTTCACATTTAGGATTGTGACTGAGGGCTGGCTAGGCTAGGCTAGGCTGCAGTTCCCACCAGCATGAGCTGGAATTAGGCACAGAACATGCCAGGCCAGGCTGCAGGTGACAAATGCCAAGGTGAGGCAGGCCATGCCAGACCAGGCTGCAGCACCCGCCAGTGCATGTGAGACCAGGGAGAGGTGGGTTAGCATGATAGGGTGGCAGCAGGGGTTCCTACTGGTGGGAGTGAGAACTGGGACTGAGGGCAGACCAGGCCAGACCAATACCCATAGGGCTGCATGTGAGCTGGGAAAGGCAGCAAGGCCGGGTGACTATAAACACTGTGCATGCATGAGCCAGAAGAAGTGCAGGCTGCCCGGGCTTTGCCACAGCGTCAGGGCTGGCAAATGCTGGGACTAGGGGCAACTCCTGTCAAGTTAGACTGCAGAACCACCAGGATAGTGCCAGATCTCCCAGTAGGGAAACTGTGGGCTCCTCTCTAATGAGCTGTGACTCCCACAGGTAAGCGTGAGAAGCAGGGCTGCGGGTGGGACTGTCTGGCCAAGCAGTGGCATCTACTGGGATGAGTGTGATCTGGATAACAGTGTTTGTTGGGTTGAACTAGGCTAAAACGCCCATTGATGTATACAAGAGCTGAATGGGATGGTGTCAGACAGGACCAGTCTGCTGCACATACTGAGAAGTACATTGAATGGTGATTTTGGGGGGGTCACTCTGACTAGGCTACAGTTCCTGCTGGTATGTTTGAGGATCAAATGTGTAGTGGGCTGGGTTGGGCTGGATGAAGCATCCATTCTTTGTGTAAGAGATGGGCTTGACACAGAACTGACCCAGCACAGGCTAATGTGTTGTCAGACTAAGCCAGACCCTGTACTGGCAAGCACACACAGAGTCAGGTCTGGGTTCAGCAGAGACGAAGTCTCTGTGGGATTCACCCAACTGAACCACTGCACTCAGAATTCCAACCGTGTGTTGAATCCTAGGACCAGTGGACTGACTGCGGAGTGCAAGTATCAGAAGTGGGCCTCCACAATAGCTAAGGCAGAGTAGTGGATGGCATACCCAGATGCACATGGAGGATATGCCAGTCCACTGGGAAGTGCAGTGGACATCTGCTACCACAGCAGAGGAAGGAGGGTAAAACAAACTGTACAACTAGCCCAGCCAAGAGTTGCCAGCATATATCTGGGCAAATGGAAACTCTCAGGTGGACTGTGTCAGCCAGTGATCCTTGGATGGATTTCCTCATCCTTGAAGCAACAAAACTAACAGCATTTCAGAACTATTGAAACCACTTGAGCACAACCTTCAGAGCATGCTTCCCATTGGGACCCTGGTATGATATTGGGTGGCCATTCCCCACCCCAGGTACTGAGGCAGTTGGAAGGCTGAGTGCAGCTTCTCTTCTCATCTCCTCCCTTGCCCCCAGAGACAGGAGGAAGAAAAGGAAACTTGCAAACAATGATCTCACCCACTTTCCCCTAACCCTCAATCCTTCCCACCCCAATCAACCATGTAACATCATCATTTTAAAAAAATGTGATTTAGGGAGCTAGCGCTTAACATGGTGGCTAACATAGTGACCTCCTTCCAACATCAGAGTGACTGTTTGCTTGCTGGCTTCATCTCTTGAGTCAGACTTGCTGCCAGTGCAGACCCTGGGGCAGAGTGATTATACACGGGTTTTCCCTTCCTTCCTTTCTTTCTGTCTTTCTTTCTTTGGCATTGTTTTCATTTTGTTGTTGGGTATCTTCAGGTTTTTCTTCAGTGTTTTCTTAATTTTCATTGCAAATCTCTTTTCATCCTTAAATTTGTGCCAGGGTGTATATGTATGTATGTATTTTTTGTGTGTATTTTTGAAAGAAGTTATTTTACTTGGAAATGCAGTTACATAGAATTTCCATTCCAAATGGCTGCAGTGGCCAGAGCTGGGCCATTGTGAAGCTGGGAGCTAGGAACTCCTTCCTCGTCTCCCATATGGGTGCAGGTTCCCAAGGACTTGGGCCATTCTCCACTGCTTTCCCAGTCACTGGGTTGGGAAGTGAAGCAGCCAGGACATGAGCCAGTGCCCATATGGGATGCCAGTGCTGCAGCAGAGGATCAGCCTGCTTCACTGCTCCTGCCCCTGTGTGTATTTCTGTAGCTACTGAGACTGGAATTGTTCTCATCAAGTTCTTTCTCAGCCAAGAAAGAGCCTGTTGGCCTATCAAAATACTACTGGAGTAATTCAAACAGTTTGACAAGAACTGGTATTAGATGTTTCTTGGAGGTTTGGGAGAAGTCATCAGTGAAGGCATTTGGTCCTGAGCTATTGCATTATCAGTTATTTGTTCAAGTGTTCTGTCTTTGTGACTCAATTTAGGCAAATTGCGTGTTCCTGTAGATTTATCAGTTTCTTCCAAATTTCCTGATTTGTGGGTATATGTTCATAATAGTTCTGACTGATTCTATTTCTGTAGCAACCATTGTTTTCTCTTTTGTGTCTCATTCAAGTGACTTTTTAAAAAAAAAGAATAATTGTATGTATTTGAAATGAAGAGTGACAGAGAGAGTGGCCAAGATGAAGAGATCTTCCATGCCATCTACTTGTTAACTCTCCCAATGGCTGTAAAAGCTGAGGCTGGGTAGACCCAAGATAGGAGCCAGTCTTTTTAAATTGTTGTTGAGAGTTGTTTTGTGGCCTACTGTATGATCAGTCTTAGTGTTCTATGTGCTGATGAAAAGGATGTGCATTCTACAAGTGTGAGGTGGGATAGTGTACAAGTGTGTTGGGTCTGTTGTGGGGAAGGAGTTAATTAGCACTGGTTAAGCTGAGCAGTAACAGGAAATGGGGTTGTGGCTAAAAGCACCTGGACTAATGGGACTCATTGGCATGCTGTTGTCTGGCTAAAGGACTTGGGGGAAAGAATACTGAAAGGAGGAAAAAGGGAGGCTTTGGAGAGACTTCCACCATGACTGGTCTCTTGGTGCTTCATCCTCAGACCCTCTCCCTGTCCAAATTACTGGCTCTGCTGACAGGAGCAGGCTCCACTTGGTCCTTGTGTGTATTGAGTTTGTTATTTTTTGATTGAATTTTTGTCTTGTTGATTTGTTCATAGATGAAAGTGGAGTTTGAATTAACCTGGTATTATTACAACTTAAGTCTCCTTTTAGATCTACTAAATTTCTATTTATAAAATGGTGCTCTAGCATTAGGGGTATATGTATTTGCAGTGGTTATATTGTCTGTTAAATTGATTTCATTATCATTGTGTAGGATCATGGTCTCGTTAACCATTTTTGTCTTAAAGTTTACTTTGTTTATGATAAGCATGGTTAATCCCTGCTCATTTTCAATTTCTATTTACCTGGAGTATCTTTTTTGCTTTTTTTTTTTTTTAAGATTTATTTACTTTTGGGCCAGGGGAAGTGTTAAGGCAATTAAGTCCTTACCTTGGACATGCTGGGATCCCATATTGGCACTGGTTCTGATCCCAGCAGCCCCACTTGTCATCCAGCTTCCTGCTGGTGGCCTGGGAAAACAGTTGAGTACAGCCCAGAGCATTGGGACCCTGCACCCACATAAGAGACCTGGAGAAAGTTCATGGTTCCTGGCTTTGGATTTGCACAGCACTGGCGGTTGTGGTCACCTGGGGAGTGAATCGTTGGATGGAAAATCTTTTTCTCTTTCTCATCTCTTCTGTGCAATAAAAAGAGCAAATTTAAAAAGAAATTTTCTGTATGCTTTTTATTGTGAAGTCAGTTTTCCAAAGAGAAGAAGGGATAAAGATCTTCCATCTGTTGGTTCATTCTCCCGGTGGCCACAATTGTCTATCTTTAACTGCAGGGAGCTGGAAGGAAAAGTG